CGGCGTGACGAATCAGTGAAGGACACGTCATGACTGATGAGACCCAATCAAGCAGCGAAACACGGCTGCATTTCCCCCGCTTCACTATTTCGCTTTTCTTTTTTTCTCCAGCAGTTGGTTTCAGTTAAACATTCTGTTCAAATATCTGCTAATTAGCTCTAAACACAAACAGCTGAGGCTGATCAGTTACAATTCATCCTCTGGGAGAAAAATGTGAGTACCAAATTTCATGGCAATGCATCCAACAGTAGGCATTTCACTTAAAATCACAAATGTCAACCTGATGGTGGCGCTAGAGAAAAAAGTCATTCGGACTGAGAAACCTCTCTTTTGTTCTTATAATTTACATCAGTTTATATTTCCAGTAAACCATCACAGGCAGAGACAGAGATTGCAACTCCAGGATTGCGACTATTTTCTGGCAAGCCACACCTACACACACACAGACTATCAAAACAATAATAACCTTTTCCTTTATCACCAGGGATGTTGAAGTTACACCCGCACAGAGACACATTCGGCCTATCAGTACAATTGCAATACTGTAGTCTCCCTCTATCTGTGATTGTTTAAATTCCAGCTCCGCCCCCTTCCTGTTTTTGTATCTCCTGTCAATCAAAATGTACCCAATCGGTGACCTTGAAGCTGCGAGGGCTCGTCAGACACACAAACAAAGAAACGCACAGTTCCTTTGTAAGTCGGCCAGTCTGTGGAGGGCATCAGTGTGCCACAGGGCATCAGGCTGCAGAGCTGGAACAACAATGATTGAGTAGGCGAGATTTTAAACCTGAACCTGAACAGCCGCCCATGCCCTGTGAGATGCCCTGTCCTATGAGCATTTGTACAGCAAGCCAGAGAGAAAATATGTCTCTCCTTCTTCTATTTGGAGATCATACTGCAACAACAGTGACATGTGACGTCCGTAAACGTGTGGCGCTTTCCGTCATTACAATGACTTATAGAGTTGTAAACTTATAGTGTTGTTGTTGTACGTGGACTCAGTTTTCACTGAGGTTTCTCCAGCTTGAGTTGGCTCAGAGACACATGCAGTCATTCCCGGGGAGCAGTCCTTGCTGTAGCAGATAGAGGGTCGCGGGCCGACAATTCATACAGGCTTCATAAGAGCAGCGATATAATGTCCGACTCAGCCAATAACACTTCATATGTTTTTTTTTACGATACCAAACTCACGCAAATGTACATGCGCATGGACTCACAGTCGCAAAAACACACACTTGTGCGCTCATGCATACGATAAAATGTGATAGCTTTTCACGTACATATATGCATATACACACACAAACGGGATTTCTTATACCTTCACACTTCAGACCAGGGAGGTAGCCATAGGCCAGAGAGCGAGAGAGAGACTTCCTGTGGCGTGTATGTGGAATATGATGCCAGTTCTCTTCAGTGCTCATTATAGACGTCATTGAGCCATAAAGGTTATTATTATGACTATGGCACAGAAAACAGCTCTTTACGTAAAACCTCACTTTTGGAGTCAGTGTTACTTTTGTAGTTCAGCTGAGGTTAAAGAGAAACCTGGAAACAAATACAGAAGAACACACGACCGAGCTGGTACCTTTCACTACCAGCGCCCTACCGGGCTTTAGTTTTGGACAAACCATGCCATGTTAAGACCTGCTGAATTTAATGTGTAATTCCTTCACTGATGTCAGTCCTACCAAATATCAGTACAGAAGATACACAAGAAAGGAGTCAGAGATTCAACGTTAAATGAATGTGACCCACTGCTTTGGCAGCTCAGAAGAGCCAAACTGCGGTAAAACGAGACACAAGGCGTTGCTTTCAGAACATTCTGTTCAAACACTTGCTAATTAGCTCTAAACACAAACAGCTGAGGCTGATCAGTTACAATTCATCCTCTGGGATACAAAAATGTGAGTACCAAATTTCATGACAATGCATCCAATAGTTCACTTAAAATCACAAATGTCAACCTGATGGCGGCGCTAGAGGAAAAGCCATTAGGACTGATCCTCTGAGGAAACAGAGGCCAAAATCAAATGTCTGGATCAAAAATCATGGCATCATGGCATCCCTACAGCAACGCTGCTGAAAACATCACCTCAGGTAAAAGCTTTGCTGTTGTTTCACTACACGTCTCTTTTTTCCTTTTCATGCTTCAACAGTCACAGAAATGTAAAAGTTTCAGTGGCATTGAAGAGGGCTAGGAGACGACTAAACTGAAAGATGACACACAATGAATAAACCCCGATCGTCACATTTAAATGGTACAAACAGCACAAATTAAGGAGGGCTTGAAGAATATGTGGCATTGTTTAATAACAGGGTCTGGATTCACTTCACATGATGGATGAAAACAGGCATTTTGTTCAAAATCTGCTGACTGATGCGGTGCTGTGGTTGGTGTGCTGACGTGATATCTTCTATTTCTTTTGCCACAACAACTGGGTGCTTTTGCTTGCATTGTGCATTGTATTGTATCTTCTGTTCTGTTACATCTCATGAGAAACATGTTGAGAACAACTCAAATGTGTCGGTTGATAACTTAACTTAAACTGCATCCTTAAAAACACAGTATCTCGATACAATGTGGGCTAGTACTGCGATCAGTTCATCTTCTCAGCACCGAAAGCAGGGATTGCACTCTGTAAAGGCCTGAGCTTTTCACACTTGAAGTAACCAGTTATCTGTGCTGGGAGGTGCCCAGGTGATAAAGGCTTACTTGTTGTCACCCACCACTCTTTCCTCTAACATGTGAGCCACACTGCTTTGTCGGCCTTGCTCCAGTTTAACAGAACAGAGGAGAGTTACATCAGACACCGTGTTCGTAAAATGTCTGAGCAGACTGTCAGGTACACGAGCCTCCAGTGGTCATTCATGCTAATGCATGTGTGGGCATGGAACTTGTAGGTTTCCTTATGTGTGTGTGTGTGTGTGTGTGTGTATGTCTCTGTCCATGTGTGTTTTACATGCTATTTTAGTATGATCCTAATGGCTTTACAGAGTGCCAGGCATTTTAACAGAGCCAGGGAGAGGCTTGTAAAACACACACACACTCACCACAAGACAGAGAAGAGAGGCTGGCACACTGGCACATGGCAGTCTGGAGGGAGACTGTGTGTGCATTAAGAGGGTCAGCCAGGGTGATGGTGACACATGATGAAGGAAAACGAGAAACGCGAGCCCGAATGAAAGGCAGGCAGTGTGTGTCTGCGATTGCGGGTCGGGGTCTAAAGCAGACACATGGCGCCGAGTGGCACTGCCTGGGTACAGGCGGGATTTGACGGAGGGAGGCAGAAAGATTCAAACTGTGATGTCGTTAAGGGAAACATCTCACCCTAAAAAAAACCCCAGTGAGAATAAAGAACCTTTAGCTCTTACACCTACACTGACACGCAGTAAGTGAGATGGTGAGAATAAGAGGTAATGGTGATGCAGGCACTTTAGAGGAAAAATAAGGGAAAGAGGAATGGTCTTCCTTTGGGGGAAAGAAAAACACAAAGGCCGAAGCTGAAGGAGTGATGGCAGAAGAGAACGTGATAAAGAGGATAAAAGAAAAGTTGAGTTTTCATCCAAATGTCAAAACCTTCAAGTCCTATAGTTGCTCTGCAAGCATTAAAATGAACTTTGACCGAACAATTCAACGAGCACGCTCTAAAATAACTCTTTTTGTTGGTTTTATATCTAAAGTTGTCATGCCATTCACTGAAATTCCCAAACCTTAACAAGTAGTTGTTAAGGTTGAGCATAGTTTAAGTGTTTGTAACATTTTAAAATGTTTTTATAAATGTTAGGTAGGAATGCAATACTGCAGGGTGGTTGGTTGGTCGTCTGAAAGCATTCAATCTTGTTAGATAAGCTTTCACAGCAGCCTGCCCACATGATTAGTTTTAATCCAGAGTAAGTTTTTCTTTAAAAAAAGTGGATCAGCGGCCTCCAGACCAGAGATTACTGTGTGCATTTAGGCAGATGATGAGAAATACGTACAGTAATTGTCTCTCTGTGAAAGTCCCCCACACCATTTCTCTGTGCCTTTAATGTACACGGTGATCAAATGATCTCTTAATTCAGTGAATTCAAAGTTTATTTAAAGTGACACCAAAACCATTCCGTGCCCTATTTAAAGCACTCAGACAAACAGAGACATTTCCCGGCATTAAGACATACAATAGGGCTTTCATGAGGACTGTAGGAAACTGGTCCTGCTGTACCCCAACCACACACTCTGTCACACTGCTCTGTGAGTATGTGTGTGTGTGTGTCTAGAGTTACCGGTCTTCAATGTATACCACATGTAGCGACCGTGTATCGCCTGATATGTTCTCAATATGGAGGAAAAAAGACGAGCGAAAGAGAGAGAGAGAGACATGGGGAAGCCATCCACGAAATTTTTAAACTTAATAATACACCGCTTCTATTCAATATCTGGAAACACAACTGGTTACCATGTCAACGGAGCTACATCAAGGCGAAGCAGTCGACTTTCCCTTAGCCTCACCTTTCTGTATCCTCACTTCCCTTTTTCCTCGCTCTCCTCCCACTCGTAGATGACAACTCGTTCGACGGTTAAATAGTAAATAAGCGCCTCTCTCCACTCCTTGCTCCTTGTATGAACTAACCTTCCCTCCTGCTGCCAAAAGCTCGAAGCAGAGTTTACTCCCTGTAAAATAAAACGTCTGAAACAGTATTTGTTCCGCAGCCAGGAGCTTGTCGTCAGGTGACCCGCTGGAGTAAATCTTTTCAATAATGTCAAAGGCAGCGCCAAAAACCTGCCAAACCGACCAGTGTGTGCCCTACTCCTACACACACACACACAGCCACACGGCGAGAACAATGACACAAACCCACACAAGTCATCACATCACACACACACGCACACACTCGTTGATTTTTAGGATTTATTAAATTGTGAGTGACAAAATGTCCTCACTTTATTCCATTTGCAATATTTCCCCCTCATGTTTCAGAAGTACACACAGAGACAGAAGACGCACACAAAACGGTCTCACCTGTTCCTGTGTCATGCTGTGCACCTGCGTATGCCAGGAGGCGGAGTCAGAGCGGTGATAGGCGGGGGGCGGGGCGGAGTCCTGCAGTATGATCGGGTCTCGCTCCTGACACAGTGAGGTCAGGTGGCTGATGTACAGCTTCAGTTTACTGCGATTCTGATTGAGATCCAGGAGAGGAGAGAGAATCTGGAGGAGGAAGGAGGTGACCGGGGACAAAAATGAGAGGGGTTCATTTTATTGTACACAAAATGTAACAACAGAGAAGGTCAATACTGCCTATGATAACTGTTTAAACGATCTTACCAGACTAGAAACACATAGAAAGTCTTACAAGAGATGGAACGACGTGCTGAGAGGAGTAATTCTTAAATAATCATTCATTATAATGCACAAAAAATGTCACTTGCTCACTTATTCACTACTCCCTACAGTCAGATATATACATAACACGGTGAACTGTAAATGCGTTATATCTGACATAAGGAGTGATATATGTCACTGCAGTACGTGTCTTTCCAGCACCTAGCTGTCTGTAAAGCTAATGGAGACTAAACATTAGAGTTAGGCTAATTCAAGCATATAGGACAAGACGGGATGAAAACAGATATGGAAATGGAGAGATGAAAGAGGATAGGATGTCTTAAAAAAGTCAAAAAGAAGTCTGAATACTGGGAGAAGTAGTGCTCAGTCTGATTACTCTCGAACCCCTGATGAAGGCACATAGAGAATTGATCCAGACTACAATCCAGCTTTGAATCTGATTCCCACGTTTAACAGTGAAACGTGTCTCACAGTGGCCATAACTGATGTCTGTGTGTGTGTGTGTGGGAATGAGGGTCAGACGAGCTGAACAAAGACACATACACACACAGATAAGACACACAGACACACGGTTCTCCTTGGGGAATTGAAGGATTTAAGTGCAGAGAAGGCATGTTAAGAGGGCTGTCAGTCTGTATGCGTGTGTCGGTAAAGGATATGCAGTTCCAGCGGGGTCTGTCCACACCCTGTGATCCATGCTCATCATCACTCATCAGCACACACACACACACAATCACAAGCTTCACGGCAGCATCCATTCACTCTCTATCTGTTCTCCATCTCGCGTTCAACATCGTTCTCTCTTTACCATTCACTGCCGATGCAAGACGTGCAAATGTGTCATCTGTTTTGACACGACTTTTATTCTTCATGCATTTAATTAAGACAGAGTGCAGAGTCGTCCGTCAAAAACACATGTTTGCACCGACTCTCTGCGTCATGGTTTTCAGTCAGTAAGAGTTATGTCATGTACAGGTTTGTGCTGCACTGAATGACTGTGCAAGGAATATTAAACTGCAGTATACCATACTGACGCTCCCTGGCCCTTCAGCTCACTGCTCACTCATTTGAACTAAACCAAGCATGGGTTGAACTGACACCTTGTCGTACATTGTTGCTTACATGCTGTATTTACTGAAGCCAATAAAGTGACCCTTATGCTCTTATTTCTAACATGTTATATTTTAAAATGACTGATGCAATAAAAACTAAATCAAGAAATGTATCTATCCCACACACATGGCTTTGACATGTCTTCTACATCTGAAAGCCAGCCTCAGCTGTCAAAACAGTGAAAAAACAAACTGCAGATTGATCATGTCTGAATATAACACTACATATATATATCCAGCATTCATTATTCAGTAACTTCATGCATTTGAGCATTCTGGCAAACAAATGAAAGAACTAGACGTGGGTGTTTTTTTGTGAGGGGAAAAAAAAAAAAATGGTACCGCACACTCTTCCCCAGCAGCATTGCTGCGACAGTGAAAGCTGACAGTAAATCAAAGTAACTGTCACTTTTGATTCTGAGTCCTTATTTACTGCAAACACAACACACACATTAGGTGTGTTTTTTTGCCCATCTCCCTTGGCGTGTTCATAAGTAGCCACAAAAGCACACCCAGGGCACATACCCACACAGTACATGCACAGACAGACACATTGCGACACAGAAAAAAACACACACACAGGGTCGTTATCAAAGTTGTAAATAGCTCTAGTTACAGTATTTTCCAGTGAGGACCTGCCAGTAGGTTACAGTCCATTACCAAATACATTACTGAACGTTTCCCTCCAGAGGAGAGAGGGAAACGGAAAGAGAAGCGAGGAGAAAATGATAGAGTTAAAGGCTGCAGGGATCCAACACATTCTGCATTTCACAACACCTCTGTTGCCGTATGTTATGATGTATGCTGACAGCAGGAAAGCAACAAGGACGTTATTGCTGCGAGACTGTCGTGTTATATGCCAATATGGGAACACGTCTCTTAAAATCTGGCTTTAATGCTTTGAAAACATACTCAACATATGTGCAACAGCTGTTCTCTCACACTTTCTAATCCAGACTATTCTGTTAGAAGGCTTGAAAAAAAACCGAAAAAGAAACTGACCACACTTTCCAGACCTGCAGCAAAGCTCTGTGGATCAAATGCAAGGCAAATGAGAAACAGACAGAAAGAATGGAAGGAATGATGCGATATAAGGAAGACATTTGGAGAAAAATAACACCAGTGTTTTCTTTTCCTCTTCCAAGAAATATGTAACAGATGACTAACAAAAACTAATATTTAAAAATAAACCTGAATTTACACCAGTAATAATACTGAATTCTGAAAGTCTTTGCAGGACTTTAAGCCTTTGGATTTACTGATTTTATTAAGTTGTACAGTATATATGTGCCTACATGTTTTTATTGTATTACACGATGGTCAACGTATGCAGTGTGCGTGTGTTTGATGAGTTCCAACGTCTTACTGTTCTATGACACAATCCCAGAGGAGCCATCGTTTTATACGCCGCTGTGTGTGTCAGAGTGCGTGTGTGCTTGTGCGTCTTTATTAGCCTCCCATGCCTGCCTACCAGACTCTTATTGTGCAATGAAACAACTCCAAAGCTTGCCCCACTGACTGGTCACCTTTTTAAAAAACCTTCCATGGCCACGTTATATGATGATATATATCATATCATATCATAACTAATAACCCAATTTTGTCTCTTTAATCACAAAATGCTCCTCCAGTTTTCTGACTATATTTGGTCGAGTAAGTTATGAATAACTACATACACAAATAATTAAACTAACATCAGCAGTAATGTCAGGTCAAAAGCAAATGTTTTTGTTCCCGTCAGTGTAGCTCTAATAAAAAAAAGAATTAATACAGATCAACTTTGTGAGATCCTATTTGATATAACAAGTCAGAGCTTTGCGCCGTTAATCATGAACTCGTTTTTTAAACATTGAAAAACCTCACAAACTAGAACACTGTACTCCTTTTATAGAAGAACATTTTCCACCTCCTCCTTGTCTTTTTTCACTGGTGCATCTAATGCCACTGACGACCATATAAAATGCAATATACCATGAAAAGTTCCTCTACAATCCTGGGTGTGTGTGTTCAGAGTGCTCTCCTGTGTTTCAGTTGTTTCTGAAGCATTTCATTCTCCAACTGTCGAACAGAATTCCCTTATTGAAAGAGACACAATCACACACTGTTCTGATGTAATGCGCTATGGCGAATTACCCGCCTGACACACCGAGGAGAAGTGTGTCTGTACTGTAAATGTGAATACTCATGAAGAAAAAGAGACTGGCATGGCCTGCCTCTCTCAGCAGGGAGGTGTTACTGCTAATTAATAACCAGAGTCAAACTTAAGATCCGCTGTTGAACTTTTGGGCTTTTTAGCATGCCAATGGGAAATCCCACTGCCACTAAAACCAGCATGTGCTGCTCATATGTGGTGTTGCCTCCACAGTCCTGTCAGTAGATCAAACTCTTTTAATAATGTGACCAAACTTAAAAAGAGACTTTCAGCATCACATCATTTCAAAACTTTCAAAACAACTTTCCAATTAACTTGTCTTAATAATTCTTTTCCCGGAACGAGTGACGTTAGATTTTCAGATCGTCCACAAGTATTAATAGCTGTGTTATTCAAGGAAGTTGTTGAAATATAAATATTTGCATTCGAAAAGAAAGAAGTGAAACATTTGGTCTGAAGAATGAAGCATTATGTGTTTTACAACGAACTCATACGTCCTGGGTTTCTGTGACAGTGGAAACTGCATTGACAGATTCAGCAGTGCCTATGTCCATTCATCATAAGTTCAACACATCCAAGGGACAGGGATTTTATGTGGACAACTCTTTGTTAAGTCTGTAACGCTCCCCAGTATAGGCAGGGTAAACTATAACACACTTGTCTCAGCTGAAACATCACCGCCCAACATGGGGCTCGAACCTCATTAAGACTCTACCGACACGGGCAGCCAGGCTGCAAGCAATGGGAGTAAAGGCTCAGTTCCAGGCCCAGTTAACTACCATTGGGCGGAGAACACTCAGAGGGGTGGAGGGTTTGGATTTCTGGGTCCACTACCCTCACACCCCACACCTAAGGTTTACACATACAGAAGACTATAGTAGGCCATGCATCCTCATGTAATGCAATATAGTACGTGCTGTGTGTATGACCAACAGCAACTGCTGTGGGTTCATGTGACAGTGGACACTGTGTGTTGATCTACTTCAGCCTGTCTGTGTCCATCCATTATAAGTCCGACAGAAAGTAATGGATGAGTGTGCAGACCAAAACACCTTCACCAAACGTAGGACTCGAACCCGCAACCCTGAGATTGGCATGTTGTATTATTCAAGAAAATCGTAGAAACATGAAGATTTGCCTTAAAAAAAAGCAACAAGTGAATTGTTTTTGTCTGAAGAATGACTTCATTCTAAATAAGATGTGTTCAGACTGATTTGAGTGTTTTCAGTTCTTGCTCGACTTGAAGGTTGTCGTGCATGTGCGATTAATGACCTTTAGGCCTAAAAACACTAGAAAGCCCCATTGTGTAATCTAAAAACAGTACCGGGCAGTCTCAAGGGAAACATTCCCTTTTCATCCCGAGAAAATCATCAAAGGGATGAATGTACTGTAGGTGGAAAGAAGGGACGATGAAACACACACACACCCACACACACAAAATAGAGCTGGATAGAATTAAAGCAAATCAAGATTGTGGAAGAAATGATCATCAGACAAAGAAGATGACTCAAAATCAGAAGATGAGATGAGATATTGAACAGATAAAGCACATAATTCAAGAGTTGATTTGTAAGCATTCCTCTTTAGGTAATGAACGTTAAAAAACAAAGGTGATTAAATCAAATACGGTCACTCACACGGGAGATCAAGAAATGACTCAATTTAACCCAAATTACTAGAGAGAAGGAAAGTCAGCAGAATCAGCTCACAGACTCACGGATGAAACAAAAGAAATGCAAAGATGGAAGACGAATGATGAGCACATCCAATTGTGATCTGATCCAGATAAAGAAGACGCTCACCCAACTGTACAAAATGGCGGACCGAGAGAGAGAAAGAAGGCATGTGGCTCGCTAGGCCCAAATACCCTCCTCATCGTCCTATTGGTTAGTTTGGTCCGACCGCAGCGTGAGTTTGGAGAAAGCAGGAAGTTAGTTGGTGAAGCAGAAAATTTGAGTAAAACATAGTAAGCGCAGGAAAAAACGTGTTAGCTAGTAATAGTTGAAACAAATTAAGTAAGTTCATGTGACTGTTACACCCGGTTCAAATACATGAAAGTGTGTCTTGCTGTCTTTCACTTGAAAATACTTGATGATGAAAATAATAGCAAGATTGAGAAATTGTATTTTAGAGCATGCTTTCATCTATATCAGAGTGATGATATTCAATGGTTTGGGGGGGCTGGGACCATATTTGGAGGTCTCACTGCTCTGGGCAGAGATATTACCTGATCTGGGGAGGGCTTGTGATTGTTGGGCAGCTCTGAGTTTGGAGTGGAGACCTTCAGGTGGTCGTCCTCATAGTTGTCCGCCATCAGCTTCATCCGGTTTTGAGTCTACAGAGAGAGAAAGAGCAATTAGATCACATACAGACACACAAAGACCTGTACATCACTTCATGTGCTGTACATACACACTTACAGGAGCACTTTGAAGGACAAACTAACATCAACATACAGTGAGTAGACTTTTGTCTTTTGTATTTCCTCCCTTTTTCTTTCATCCGTCACTCTCATCTCTCCCATCTTGGCTCTTCCTTCATCTCGTCGCTCTTCTCCCTGATGCACTTTATTCTCTTCTCCTTTCCTATCCTCTCTCTTCCTCTCCTACTGCTCCATCTGTTTCACATGTTAGACTTATACTTTAAGTTTTACAGTGGCCTGGAAAGAGCAAGGGAGTGAGAGAACGTTAGGGAGGGAGTCAGTCTAAATCTGTCAGTATTGTACAATCTAAATCCCCTTAGCCTCTCGCTGAGCCCTGCAAGGAACAGGGGCTTAAGCAGACCAGACTGAGGTTTTGTGTGTGTGTGTGTGTGTGTGTGTGTGTGTGTGTGTGTGTGTGTGTAAGAGACAAAACGTGAAAGGGAATGTGAATTCCAACTTTCATAATATGCGTTTGTTTGAAAGCTAAATGAAACACTGCATTTTGCAGGATGGTGTGTGAGCATGAGATAGTGGTGCTAAAAACGTGTTTCAAACTGCGTGTATGTGGGGGCTATATTAAGTGTGTGTGTGTGTCTATGAACATAATTCAAGTTGAAGAGAGCCTCCCCTGGCATGCACACGGACATTATTCATTTCCTCGTTTTCTAAAGACGGATTTAAAATAACACATATATTTAAAACAAACAGGGAGAGTAAACAGTTCATCTTGAAACCATGTAAGTACAGGACCTGGAGTCACCGCTGCACTTGTAAATATACACAAAAACACACACACCTACCATCGTGTGCACACACACACACACAAACACACACGAACAGCTGTAGAGCGATTATTATTTGTCTCTGTCTATCACTTCCTCTCCTCACCACAACGTTCAGAAGCATGTAAACCACAAATGATCTTTTGTTAACAACACAAGAAAGAACACAAGACAAAGAAAGAAAGTATTGCACAGAAAATATAAAAAGTCAATCTGAAAATGCTTTCATTTTGAAATGATATCCAGATTGATGATTTTTGTTTTCAATCGCTAGCACACTAAACACACAGTCAGTGTGAATCCTAAAATTTGTGACCATACAGACGTAGACGCATAACATCTGCGCCCGACTGGGCATGCTCCAGTTTGGTTTTAAACTCCAGTAGAGTTTGGGCATATGCATTTCCAGTTGATCTGCCAAAAGAAGCTAACAAAGTTGATGCCGACTGATTTAGCCGGGCCTGGTACGGCAAACAAAGGGTCGAGAGTTCGAACCCCACCTTGGGTGATAGTCCTATGTACGCAAAAGTCCTAACAGACTGGTACAAGCCCGGCTAGCATTTATAGCTGTTGATTCTAACACCAACTCCAGCTGGATTTACATTCTCTGTAACTTCTAGCAAAGTGAAATTCATCTTTTGAACTCATAACTACATCCATGTTGCACACCTTACAGCAATTTAGTTTTCTATGTTCTCATGATTTCATTCAGTCAAAATGGTACCTGTAGATATTCAAGGAAAACTTTGTTTTCTACAGAAACCACAGGAGAGATATCTGTTTTGCCAAACTACAAGGATGAAACCTGCAGGTATAATAATAATAAGTGGGATTTGAACCGACGCCTCCATTCGGAGACCAGAAGTCTCTTTGCTGAGGAAGGAACGAATCCTTGAGTCTGGTGCCATAGACCACTCAGCCATCCTGACAGGTGAATCCCAAATTGTAACTGGGGCTCACGAGTTACATCTAAATAGACATCGAGGATTGCCTTGATCGGATTTGAACCCATGTCTCCATTTGGAGACCAGTAGTCTCTTTGCTGAGGAAGCAGTCATTTTAGCTATTTATCAATGTCGGCTTTAAAACCACTGCAGCTATTTCAGTATTGTCATTGATGGCGGTTGTTGTATTTTAAGAAGTCGTAACAGGAAAACGAAACAACGGAAGTCCTATGGTTCTTAGAGGTTCAGTCTCGGGTGAGTTGGTAATACACCCCAGTATAGGGTATACTATACACGTTCATCTTAGCTGTCCTCCATCTCTTTAGACTGCTGCTATACAGTACGTGGCTTGTTCCATTGCGTTCACTGGTTTCTTTTGTGTTGTTAGGTCATTTTGACCATCAATTTTCTTCTCGTTTGCCCATCTTTGTTGTTTTTGCCCTTTTTACTTTGTTTTTTTATCCTACACATGCAACTATGTACTGAAACCAACAACATGCATATTAAAGCATCTTTCTCCATCTCATCTTTATCAAATTCTCATATTCAAACCTAAAGGCCTGATTCCACCAGCATTTCAAATTGTAATATTCTGCCCGATTAGATTGCAATGCAATACTTGTTAGCTACACACACGCACGCACGCACGCACGCACTTTCCTTGCTGGCCTTTCTTTACATCTTCCCCTTTTCTCTAATTGTCAGGAATGCTGACCTCAGCGCACTTGCTGTGCCAACTTTCTTTTTCTCACTTTATCTAATCATCACACCATTATTTCTCTCCTCCTCCTCTCATTGTTCCCTTCTTCTTCTCCCCTCCATCCTGCGGCTCTGCTGTAACCCGCTGACAACGGACAGAATGAGAAACAAATGAGCATGGATCGAAGCAAGTGGAGGGCGCTGAGTCATGCTTAGAATAAAATGATTTCATTGTGATAAGACTCCGGGGAATATTAGATCAGATTATTGTTTCGTCTTTCCCTCCAGTGGTGAAAGAGAACCTCGTTGATATCTGTGCAATTATCAATAATGAAAAGTTGCTGAGTCATGGCTGGACAAGAACTATTTCATCACGATACAAAATTAGATTAGTTTTTTTCTCGTCTCTCTGTCAAGAAGATAAAGCTGTTGATAAGTGGAAAATTACAAATAACAATGGAAAGTGTCTGTTGAGCACTGAGGGAATTATTTCATCCTCATAAATCTCTATGGAGTAATAAACTAGATTAGAACCACATTTGTATGTAAAGAGAGAGACACATGAATACAATCCCCATCACTCACTCACTGGTTCACTGTTGAACTGGTAATTAATTGAGACTTCTGTCCTGAATAGCAGGAATATCCCTTTTCAACTACAGTTTCTTCGAGAGTAAAGCCACATTCACAGGCATCTGTTCACAGGAACTTGGAAACTACCAAACAGTGATATGAAGAGCCAAAGTCTTAAAAATGTCCAGAAGCCACACAGGTGCAGAACAATGTCCAAGGCCACGGCCACACATACACCACCTATAAATGTTAACCACATGTGTCTCTTGCATGGGCAGATTGTGGTGTACTCCACACCTTCCCCGTCTTCTTCTTCCATTTTGTAAAGTATTACAATCACCCCCCACTTCTCTTTGCTTTCACACACTATTTTCCACAACTTATCTCTCTCTCTCTTACTCCCTCACTCTCTCTCTCTCTCTTTCCCTCTCTCTCTCTCTCTCTCTCTCTCTCTCTCTCTCTCTCTCTCGTGGTTTTATTCTCTGTCTCTCCACCAAACTGCTGAAGAAAAATAAAAATGAAAATAAAAGGGAAGAGGAGGAAGGAGACTGTGAGAAAGAAGAAGAGTGAAGAGAGCTGAGGTCACCTTGATCTACAGCCTTCTTGCTTACACTGCAGCTGGGGGTCAAAGGGCAGACCACAGGAGATGCTTTCAGGAACAACCGTATATTCTTGAACACACACAGGTGTGTTTTATGTCTGAAGTGTAAGTGCTGCACATATACAGATGCTTCTCCCTCTTGCATCCCTCCATTTATCGGTCAAGTTTAAATATATGTTGCTGTCTTTGCTATGTCATTAGCAAACTTCACATGAACGCAATGCTGAATTTAGACGCTGAAGTTTCTCTTCCTATAAAGTCTGATGAAAATAAAAAACAATATTTAGTACATATTTGTTCATAAAGCACCCCTACATTACGTGCATTCAGTTGATTCAAATGTAGCCTTCTGTTCTCTTTAATACCTGCATGAATTAAATATTATAATTTCATCACTCGGGCTGATTTTACACTTTGTGTACACTGATCCTCTGAATATAATTCAGACCAGACGTAAGATGTCAGGGGGCATTTCAGCACAAGCAAAGCGTCCATCCAGTCAAAAAGCATCGACTGGCGAGTGATGGCTGTAAAAAACTACTCCAGAGGAACGTTTCCAAAAATGGCGTGTGTGGTTCGTCCGTCACACAGGTATGAGTGAATGACATTTTACTACTTTACAAACCTAAAAATACTGCTTTCTGTCTTCACCTGCCAAACATCACCTGATGGCTACCAGAGTTTACAGATCACTTTCATCACTCATTTATACTTACCTATAATTTAAAACCGCAACTCTGTCCATCTGTCAGTTGGGTTATCAGTGGCAAAGTGTGTGCATATGTCACTCTGAAGGACCGGGCCAAAAATACTACACCAGCATCAGCTAACTTGATGGTTACACAGCAAACACACACACACACACACACATACGGGAATACTGAGGAAGTCTCGGCTGTGATCCATCATCGAGGGACTGAAAAAGATGATACCACAGAGTGAAAGAGAAAGAGAGAGAGAGAAAGAGAGAGAGAGAAACCAAAGAGGGGAGTGAAACCACTCACACCTCTACACACACACATTGCAGGAGACAGTAGAGTCTCTGTGTTGTGAACAACCACCTTCGAGACCCTGAGGTGTCATAAAAGACTTCAAATAAGACGGAGAAAGACGACGGGATGAGGGAGGAAGAGAGAGGAGAGTGATGCACGTTATAATGACTTCATTTGACACAGCCACTCTCGAAGACCTCATGCTAACCCGCTCTATAACACACACCTGCACATGATTCTCTCCATTGTGCGTCTATCATATTGAGTACGTTGGAACTCATTCTATCCAATAAGTGGGTTTTTGGCAATATTCAATAACTGGCAATCTTTTGCAACAAAACTATTGCTACATTTTATCATATGAGAGGCTTTAAGGATGAAAACTCCATTAGTTTCTTTTGAACGGCAGTTTAGTTTCCCAGCTTGTGAATCAAGGGAAATAACAGTGAGCATAAAGCTGTTCCATCTCGGTTTGGTTGCGATATCTTAAACTCCAGTATTTAGCCTGCGTGTTTGGTGCGATGTGCAATGTGAAACTGTTGGTCCCATGTATGCAGAAACATACATTTGTGTAGTCGGGTCAAAGAATATTCTAAATTTGAATACATATGCAAATAGTAAAAACAACCCCGATATTCGAGTATTAACATTAATATTCAATTTTGAGTGTCTGCCTCACGTGCACTAAATGCACCACATGAGGGGAGTCATAATGTCTCCTTCATTCATTGAATTTGAAATGTAACGTTAGGTCCAGCGAAACGACAACAACAATCGCAATGAAGGCAGAGAACTCGACCACTGAGAGTGACACCGTGTCCTAACACTCGTCAACACGTCACGATATGTAAACAAACCGCGTACTTATCAGCTGTGTGCTCGAGATCAGAGCTTAGTAGTAGTACTTGCTGTCTTCCGACGTTTGTGCTTTTCCACAGCTGCCAGCTTACTTAGGTTTTTGTAGTGAAACTTGAAGGTATTGAGTAGATTACTCCTCATTTCAACTTCCAAAGCAATGAATATTCAAACGACATTTTTGTCCAATTTTGACAGGCCTAGTATGTAGCCGAGTGCGTTAGTGGTTCAACTCACCATCCCATAAGCTCATGTCATAGCAGCTATGGTTACGGTTATGTGATGAACAGTAATCGGTGTACATGTGCAGCCAGCAGGATTGAGGTTAAGCACTGGAGCTCTGACTTTGACCTTCTTATTATGTATCAAATTATTCATTAATGTCTCAGGGGGGGATCAAGTAAGGAACAAAAACAAGGAGAAACCGATATGGACAGAAAGTGAGAAGACACACGTACAGATGGGAGACCAGTGCAGAAGAAATCCCCCAAACTCCCAGTCGGCTCATCCACTAAGGGGTTGGTTAATTCACTAGACCCACGAGAACCTTTACTGTGTGTGGGTGTGTCTCTTGAGTGTGTGAATAGACCTCTGTGTGGAACCACAGAGGCATTTGGTCATGTTTATATCCTTGTTTTTGGCCTGGGTCAGTGTACATATCGGTATGTGTGTTTGCTTTGTGAAGGTGTATCCATGCCATCAAAGTGACGTGTTAGGCTGTATGTGTTAGTGTGTGTGTATCTGACGATAGAACATTTAAATAAATACAAATTTCATATTAAAGTGTTGTCACTGGAGATTTGTAGAACATTTCAACTGTGTGTGTGTTTGTGTGCGGTGAGTGTGGGAGGGGTAGTTTAATCCTAAATTTACCCGTGGTGGTCGGAGGACTGTGGTCACATCTGGACTCGGTTTCTCTCTGCCTCTCTTGTTTTCTTTGCTCCCCTCATCATTGCCACCTCACCTGTGCTCCCTTTTTTCCCTCTCGACACTTCCTCTCCATCTCTGCTCCTCTCCTTTTAAATAACTGACCGAAAACTTTTCCAGGTGTCCACTTGGGTGTCAAAGTAATCGCGTAAGTCTGTGCACATAATCCTACCTGCTGTTTGAGCTGATGAACCAGACCATCCTTCTCCCTCTTCAGAGACGCCACCTCATCCTGGGTTTTCTTCTTCTTAGATGAGGAAAGCTCCAGCAGGGCGATGTTGGCGTCTTTCTCACTTATAGCTGCCAGCAGGGCCTCTTGCCTGTACAGAGAACAATCATACATTTTGTTAGCATCTGCATGGCTGGATACTGATCTGCGTGTACTTAAATCTCGATGGTGAACCCTTCGCGTGTCAACAAGTGGAGGAAAGCATTCTTAAATGGGGAGCCACTTTGTGATGTAGGAGGATAAAATTTGTGTATTTTTGCAACAATATGGGGCTTCCTGGTGGTCAAGTATGATGCATACCATGCAATCAAGATGTTTCCAGTTTGTTTTTAGTGAGGACCTTTATGTCATGTTCACTCTTCCTCCCCAGTTGCTCTTCATACCATCTACCACAACAATGTGTTTCACCACCTTTAACTTAATCTAACTCTATGAATTCACGCTCACTCTCTGTTTGTGTACAGGTATTACGCTCTAGTCTGTGTCTATCTTTCCAGCCTCTCTTGTCTCTCTCTATCTCTTCCCCCCCGCCTGGATAGTCGGGCTGACTGATAGACAGCATTCCATGTGGTTCAGGAAGCAACAAGCCGCATCCCATCCATCCCATCAGCCACAGATCTGGCCAAGCCGCATCCGAGGACACACGACCCTCAGAATTCTTGGAATTCTGTCCGTTTCCGGAGAGATTCTAAATCACAACACTTACATTTACATTTTTTACAATCCAATCCTTATATCGTTCACGTTCCCTCTTTACTCGGCATACAATTACCCCGTTTCTCACCCTCTCACGCACAAACACACACATAAAGATACAGATACCGCGGTGCAGTGAGGAATGCAGCGATGAGAGTGTCTAAATGAAAACAGATTACATGTTTGGACTGCGTGAAGACCCACAGATACTTTGGTCAACCTCACTGACCACACTGTCAGAGCACACGTGTCCCATCATGCATCTGGACTGCAGCAATCCTGTCGGGAGCAGGGGGTGAGGGAGTCGAGACTGGGGTTGGTAGAGTGATCCCCTCAGCCAATCCGGTCACTGTCAGCAGCTCAAAGATTTTCCAGATTTGTGAATATAAATGCAGCATTGTTAAATACTACTGTAACAGTAACTTTATATATGCTCCCTTTCTGCATCACAGTGTTGACCATTTACATTTAACCAACATGACCTCCTGGACTTCTGTATTCTAAGAAAGAACATTGTGAGACGCTGGAACACTGTCACAGTCTTTCCCGTTCTATTTTCACATAAACAGTACACACACACACACACACACACACAGGAAGGCTAATGGAACATCAGTCTTGTTAAAGCTAACGGTGCGTCTAGTTTTATACCATATCTGAGAGTTACCTGCCAGCACATGGCGCTTATAAACCCTGGTGATAAAATGATATTTATTCCAGATGCACTGGTCTCATTCTGGGCCTCTCTATGGCTCTCCCTTCATCTCGGTATGACACACACACACACACACACACACACCCTTACTCTCTGCTTGGCCAGAGCTAAACACATGCTTATGACAAGTGCTGGTTGTGGCCACTGCTGTTACTATGTGATCATTCAAATCTGTTTCAAGTGCAGCTCTCTTTTGCTAAATCTTGAGATAATTCTGCTGTCAGAGGGCTCTTAAACATAGTATGCTCTCAGCTCTGCTGGCAATGCGTCCTTACCATTGAAAATAACAAACAAAAAAAAGCAGCCAGCACTGTGTGGAGGAAAGGTTCCCAGTGGATACGAAGCCTTAGATCTGTAACTTTCCTTTCAAGTCTTTTCCTTTCTGCAGCAATATGCTGGGGACAGTATAAGGAGGGTCTACCAACAGAAAGTAAAAGCTTATTAAAGAGCTATGTGTAAGATCTGCATAGTTCTCATGTTTTTTAAGGCATTTTTGCAAAACACATCCTAGAGATTACTTGTTAACTTGTGCGTGCAGTGGTGTTTTGTTTGGAAGCCACTCTGTTCTTTGCCTGGTCAGCCATGGCATCTGCTTGATACGGGACGATTCTGCATAACCACAGATTAGGTTCAATGCCAGCCATTTTAATGTTTCCTGTGGATGACAACTACGGTCTGCATGAGTTAAGGAAAGATTGTGTTACGACAAATAAACAGTTTGACAACTAAGACACTTGGTTGGGGTTGTAAACGGATTGTGATCATCTTAGAGCCAGTTGGAACCAATCGGTCTAACAAGGATACGCCTCTGGGGGCTTTCTGGGGATCCGGTGTGGCTAGCTGATATTCCGGCCAAGACCTTCTTTTATGTGCGCTGTTTATTATTTACGGTCCCATTAGCAACTTGAGATGCAAGACTAGAGTTGGAGTCGGGAGACGACGTGTACGACCGGATTGTTTCGCAAGTAGCCAGTTCACGAGCTCATTTTAAACCAATAAAAAGCTAGATCATCGTCAGACGACAGCCAGTGGTTTCAGTCAATACGTTCCGCCTCTTTTTCTCTCCACACGGATTGTTCACCTGCGTTCGATCAAAGCCTGCTTGAACGTGATTGGTCAACACTACTCAGACAACAAATTCTGCATATGAATGAAGAATCTCTTTTTAGAGATAATGATTGTGGTAATGGTTAAAAAAAAAGAAAAGATGACACTAATTGTACATCTGGTATTGGAAGTAAATTTCGGTCTTTGCATCAAAGTTGACTATCCACCACTCCAACCTCTCCAAACCCTTACTTCAGTTGGCACTGAACACTGGCGTTGGATGTAATTTATGAGGTGCAGAATCATTCAATAATTCCTGCAGATGTTGGCTGTTTTTTTTTTTTTTTTTTACAACAAACCCCCAAAAAAACCCTAACAAATGATATACAATCACTTTCTGTGCAGCAGAAAACCCTGACTTTCATGAAACACTGTAAAGGAATATAGAAACCTGGCAGCAGGCTGACTTACTATTGTATGCCACACGGTAATGGTGCTGAGTAGTAAAACAGTCATATATTTATATGAACATTTCACAGGTTATTCAATTTAACAAGTTCCATTAACATTATATTCTCTTCCCACTTCCTCTCAGGCTGTCTCTCACCTCTTCTCTATCAGTGTCTCTCGCCCACCCTGCGTTTCTCATCTCTTTCTCCTCGCCTCTCCCCTCGTC